ATAGCACGACAGGAGACTGCAAAATCCCACTCACACTCCGCGATAACCATGGGTTAATGCACAACGGAGGAGATGAAGAAGCGGAGTCTTTGCTGACTGCTCTAATTTTATTATGTGCGACAGTGTGATCTTAAACGTGAAGATTACAATGCAAATGGGTGGATTATGCAAGTGGGTGGGGCTTGAGATCACTTAAGAAAATCAAAAATAATTTTTATCTGAAGAGATGGTAAACTGATAGCCTACGCAGCACGAGAGGTTCTCTAGTTTTTCGAGGTTTCCTGTGATGAAAAATCATGAATTATGTTCTCTTAATACAACATTGCCTACTCATTTACTCCCATGATATTTTTTTTTTAACGATAGACAACAAGTTTTTGCAGTCGGTGTGTTTATTACTCTTTGCTTACAATGCTCTTTTTCCCAATGCCAAACGTACGGCAAAATATAGTTGAAAATGACAACCAGAATTGAAATTCTCCATCTACTCTGGAACTTTTTTCACCGCTATGCCAGAAAAAGCTCCTCCATCCCCATTTCCACCTTCGATGGCTTTTATCTTGTGTGAAACACTCACATGATGGCTGGGAGGACAAAGCTCTTTCGGCAACTTTGCACCGTGCTTCAAGTTTCCCCCATCCAAGGCAGACGCTCGCAGATTGAAGTTTTTGCATCTGAATTGCAGCTCCCTCGCAATTTGTTTGCCACTCCATCATGGAAAGTTGTGACAATTTCTCGACTTATCCACATCGTTTTTCAACCCCCTCATTGAGAATTTGGAGGACTTTGGGGGTGATTTGAATTAATTAAGCGATTGCAATCGGCAAATATATTGGCATTTAGCCCAAGAGGATCAAATTGTGCTGCACAGTGCTAAAGTTTGAGATGTGCGAGCATAATTTAGGCCTTATGTGGATTAAAGTGGGACAGAATAGATGCTTAGGGTTTAACTAGAAGCTAGAGATCTATTCAAATGTGAAGGAGCGCAGAGCTGTAAAACTGCGCTCGCTGTCTCGGTGGCTGTGCCAAAAATAATCACATTTATCATAATGACTGGGTGGAAGTAGTGAAAAGACGAAATTAACCTCTATAATTACAGCTGGATTAGATGGTAGATATAGTTGTGGCGGGCGAAAGAGCGTCGAGGAAGTGAAACAATTGCGATAAAAAGCTCTCTTCACAATACGGCGCTTTTGCCGAGGAATGCAATTAAGCTCTCAGTGGAGGGTGTTTGTGCCAAAAATATTGAAATAAACGTTGCCATTCATCCCACTTAAGAGGATTATTCTGTTCTGCGGCGAAATGAGATGCAAGCCATATCGCGCGACGAGGGTTGGGCAAATGGCTGGCATTTCGCAATCAAAAATCACGGGCAAAGGAGTCCTCAAGTGCCATAGTGAGAATGATGGCGCAAGAAGCTGTGCGGTGAGGATGGTGAAAATATCATCCCAATCTCGCCTCCCTTCGATATGATTTATGCTGAGCAATATAGACCATCGAACCATTATATTTGTGCTGAACACTCGGTTGGGTATACAATAATGTATCTTCTTTCTTCTCCATCTCCGCAATTCATGGTAATTTGACTTGAATTGCTTGTGCTGCAGCTTCGAATAGCTGTGTTGCATCTGTTTGGGATTTTAGCAGTGGGTTAAGAGCTCCTTGCCACTTTGCAGGTGCATTCAATACCCTTCTCTTCTTCCCCACACTCCCTTGCAGGTGAGCAACTTTGTAAATAATCTGCAGAATTATTGCTCAAGCTCCTTTTTTTCAGTTCGGCCTTTTGCCAAAATATGCGGCAAGGTTCAGAGATCAGCAGCATTTCTCTGTGCACTTACAGAGGAAAACAAAATCTGAAACGCAATGAATTCTTCCTTTGTGAAGGGGAAACTCAAGTAGTTACGCTCAATTATAAAAAAAAGTCGCTTTTGTAATTAAATGTTGATAATAAAATTAAATTACATTCACAGCCAAATTAATCCTTGACCTGTGAATTTATATATAATGTACAAGAGGCACAGCAATTCCATTGATACATAACTCAATTTATGAAAGTGGCAATTTTATTGTAACGATGCTGTTGTGAAATTTACACTCGCTACCATGATTAAAATTACGCACGCATCAACGCAGCCATTGTCACGCAACTTGGAACTTCCTCACGGGATGTTTTATCCATACGCTTTGCTGCTACATACCAATTTGCTATGCTTAATGCGTAGGCGAGTTAGAAAATTGATAGCTCAACTTTTCAGCAATATCTGAAACATGCACATAATTACACTGACTAATTTGGGGCAGAAAAGCCATGGATAATTGTATATAGCCATTATGACATTTGCATTTGCTGGAATATTTAGTGAGGGAGAGGAAAAGTCCTGCCTTGCAGATTCTGCATTGTGTGAGAGAGATTCAGTCAGGCATAATTTTCAATTTAACTTTGGCAAAGATCAACCCGAACAAAGAGGTGTATAAATCGGATTGGTTTTCGAAGTTATAGCTTTTACCTTCATTGCTGATTTTGATTCTCATAACGAGTATATGTATATTCATATCATACGGCTCGAGAGACTAGAAAATATATGAATAATTGCCCTACAATGCAATCCAAAGTTGAGTTCATCAGCTGTGTGTCTGTTGAAATGCGCCGGTCAGCTTGGCGCAGCTGAGCTTCAAGATTATACTGTTTGATGAATTTTGTCATTCTTTTGCATTCAAATGTGACAATATGCTTTCAGTATTTTGGAGTGTATACACTTGTTGTCTTCAGGGAAATCTTCGATAACACTGCAAAATTGCAGAAATATTGCATGATAGGGAAAAATGGAAAGAGCGTTTTCTCCACACATGCTGCATGTACATGTGTGGCTTTGAGCTTTGCGATTGGGGGTTTCGGAAGCGGCGACAAATCATGATGCTATGCTGCCGAGCTCAAAGGAGAGCGAGGCTTCGGTTGAATGTCAGACAAGTGCAAACACATATTGACATTTAATTTAATTGAAAATTCAGCTGCCAAACGCTCTGAAAGCATCGGGATTAACTAGGGATCATCATATTTCCTCTCCAGTGTGCATCATCATGTTGGCGAAATAATTTCGTGGCGTTGTTACTGTGGCGGGGAATGGTAAAGTTTTTGGGCTTTTGCTCCACATAGCCAAATCCCATTTCTGACTATTTTATTATGTTGCTGCTCCTCTTCATCTCCACCCAATTTGTCACTCTATATTTTAAAGGCGTCACATCACAATATTAGGCTTGCGAGGACAAATCCACACACACGCATACACACTTTGTGACATTCTGCACATTCCACTCCAATTGTCGTCTAATTTTCAATTTGCCCCTGCCGCGAGTACAACACTTATTTATTCACAGGATAATTTAATCCACGCTCTCTCTGCAAATTTATTGTCATCCGCTGATGATGGCGTCCAGGCACTCATGCAATCAACTTGAGAGCTTATGTGCGAAATTCAGTGTGCTTGTCTGTTGCACAACCTCTAGAAATATACAAAGTTTATTGACCGATTGTCGTGCGCACATTGGCGCAATGTTATAAAAACTATAAGATAATATTTAACATGCACATTTTGGTTGAAGTGTGCAGACAAATCCATCTTAGCTCGGAGTTCTTCCAGTGTCATCCTCGGCAAAAGCCACAAGAACAAAGAGAAGACTTGGGTTTTCCCCACCGCAACAATGCAAAAGTCAACTAGAAATATGTCAAGCTTGAGAAATGAATAAGTTGAGCTCTTTTGGCTCTCAAAGAAAAGCCACTCACACCGAAAAGTCATGGCAGATGAAGCATAAATGGGTACAATTTGGCTAAACACACAAGCAAACAACAAACTATATTTTGTATGACTTTCTGTGAACTCACAACCATAAAGCTTTTTAATTTTGTCCGAGATTAAGCTGATTTTAATGTCTCTCCGGAGGACAATACTCGACGCTTTGTATGGCAAATACGAGAACATACCCAACGAATTTACATGTGAATGCAATGCAGTTATTAAATTATTTAAAGGTATACTTAATGAGGAACTGGCACAAGCATTTGTAGCACTCATTAAGTGCACAAATTTGCTGAGATGGTCGCATTATTGTGACTGTTAAGTGCCACAATTATTGTGTGATAAAACACACCCCAGTGAAAAGCTCTCAAAAAGCTTACCAGAAAATTCCCACATATGTTATAATGCTGTTGCTGTTTTGCATGAAATGAGAAGAAATCCCATTAGTCTTCGGCTGTTGGCTCCTCATATATTTTCCAATTCAGAAACTAAGTTGCATTTTGCTTTGTTTACTTTTGTGCACAATGAGGTTTTTAGCTCTGCAACATTCAATTGAATTTTTACGTGTCCAACGCTTCGAGTGGACGAAAAACGATTTAATAAATTATGTGATGAACATCACTAAATAGGATCACATCTTGAGAAGCGCACAGATAGAAAAGTGGTTACATTATTAAATTCGAAGCAATGCGGGAAATGTGAGAAATTTTCAATCTTCTCGAAATGGCGCGCCTGTCTTTCACGCTCTGGTAAAATTCGGTGTGAATTCAGTCATGCGAATTTTCGATGCCGTGTCAGGTGAAATTGAGAAATGCCTATAAAACACAATTTGGAAAAATTGACTTTTCAACCCAAAACCATTAAATGGATTAGCGAGTATCAACAGAATGTGGCAAACAATTGTCACTTCGTGGGAATTATCATCATGATCAATTTTGTATCAATTGAAAGCCAGTGTGGCGTGAATTTATTGTTAAAATATTATAAAATAATAAATAACATGGGGAATATTTTAGTTATTTCCCAATGTTAGATATACTTCATCGAGTATGACAAACAATTTTGATATCGTACGGAAATCCAGTTTGGTCGAATTCATCAATGAACCCTACTATTGATTGCTTCCTCTGGCATTTGCATTTTAATGTTGGACTCTTAAATTTTAGTGCAAAATGTTCTAATTCTCAACCTTCTTTCCCTTTTCAGGTTGTGCTTTTTTGACGTATTTCAGTCCGGAAAGTGCAGCGAACGCCCAGAACGCGCTCCATGAAAAGCAAACTTTACCAGGGGTGAGTTTAACCACGCAATTATCGGTTTATAGGCATTTGCCAATTGACTTCTGGGGTAGCAATTATACCAACTTTTTCCACCCCATTCAATGGCGCCAAGGAAATATCGGGTAATGTGGGCTGGAATTTACAAAATTGATTGAGAGTTTGAGTGGGTTTGTGTGCAGAAAATGAGGAATTGCAATTCCAGCCAGCAGCTATAATTGTAGTTCAGTCGAAAAGTGGGGAAATTTCACATTGAAGTCCGCTCAGAAAGCCTTCAATCACGGATCAATTCGCGAGATTTGAGAAGGCAAACAAGGTTGGATAACTACGGCAAGTTATATAGTATGTAGTAGATTGTGAAAAGTCTCTATATAATTTCTCTAGAACAACCACACCTTCGGTCAAGAATTGTGACTCACCTTTTGCCTATATGACGCAGAAATAGAAACACATCGAAACTCGTGTAGAGCCAATAAATGCCTTTGCAGTTTAATGCTTTTCGATGATGATGAGTGTGCATGCGGACTCCTTTTGCGCCCACCCACAAGAATGCGAGGAAAAATCTGCGCCTCATTGCTCAATACTCAATATATAATGCAAGAGAGGGAAATCGGATGTTAGGCGAAGAAACAGCACAATTATGATTCCCCGTCTATAATTAGAAATGAAATGCTCGAGTTTTATGGAGCGAACAACTCCAATAAAATTTTCATACGAAACACTCACTTTCCCGCCTTTTCTACTTCTCACTCCACCACGCATGATTAATATAGTAACACTTTAGGCCATGCAATGTGTTTCAATTGTTGGTGATGGATTTTCTCTGGGGCCTTCGGATGGGATTTTCTAAGTCATGCTCCTTCGCACGTGGACGTATTGTTCAATGGCCTCTGTCGCTTCCTCTCGCTAGTTAGTTAGTTTCGTCCACTGAACAGATCATGAGCACAGCGAGTTGGTTAATTTGTTTACAGGATCTTTCTCGAGGGGTTCATCAATAAGGATTTAATGTTTATATTTAACTTTTGATTTTTTCAATCTATGACATCAACAATTACCTGGACATTTTCAGCAGTTACTGCGATCATTCGTTGAATTTCATAACTGACAGGCTCCGAAGGACTCAAGTTATTGTCCTACAAAGTAATTTTCATGCTTCAATTTGGAGTTTTGTTCAAACAGTTTGACTTGACACATATTTCTCTTAAGGATAACATGTTTTTCCTGAGTATTTATGTCCTGTTTAGGCAGGTTTATTCTATTTTCTCTTTGCATTTTGTACCTACTTTCACATTATTATGCGTGATGGCATTCATGAGCTGATGAACCCCTCGCAGTGATCGCGGCATCTTCCCAGTTCAACACGCGGTCTCGTGGAGAACGGAGTGAAAATTGTTCGTGAACCAGAAGTGTGATTATCCACCTCGTCACGCTATTGTGAATCGCTGTCAAAGTGGGGTCTTGGCGGGAAATCTCGAGGTTGTGTGGATTTTATCAGTGTTGTGCCAGTGTCTCTGTATCAGGTGGATTTCTGTCCTTTGCATTTGGTGTTTCTGGCTGTTGAGTGTGCCGTGCATTTTGAGTGCCATGGAAAACCTGTACGATATGATTCTTCTCCCGGATCTTGTCAACTACTACGACCCAGTAATGGCAAGTATTTCACACAGGAATCCAAATTTACAAATGCCTTTTCCATTTCCCGAAAATTCATCGAATTTCCATTGGATTTTCATTCATACAATAAACAAACTTTGTTCTATTTTTGTGCCGCGTTTTCATTATTATTACAAACATTGCTTTGGCTTACGCGCTGTGGCGTGATCTCCGTGATGGTCTTCTGGATGCTCTCTCTCTCTGGCTAGTTTTTCTTCCGTGGAATTTTCTCGATTTGTCTGCATGAAATCGTGGCGAATAATTTGCTGAAGTCGCTGGTTGTGGAAATTGAATTTACCACCACCCGCCTTGATTGGCGTGCTTCAGTCCCACATAGAGAAAAGCCACCACGAAAGTGGGGCTGTTGGAATGCTGACTCGGAATATATGTAAGCATTTCATGATAGACTTCTTGATCCAAATGGCAATGAATGTGTGTACATAAGAATTCAATGAGGAGAGATGGGAGACACTCTGTTTTTTATGCCATTCCTCTTCTCGCTCGCTCAAAAATTTCCATGAATAATAAAGCGGAGAAAAATGCTCGATATCTCGCCACTTTTTTCCTTATTCACCATGCAGAGTGCCTGGTTAAAGGCATTGCCGATGCGAGAAAATGAGTGAGAGAATTCCGAAAATATTATCTGTTTATTTTTCAATCGATTCTCGTGAGTGTTTACAACCAAAAGTGTACATTTTCGGGATCTTTTCTCGGCCATAATCGACACATCATATGCTATATGTTGAGAGTTTAATGATCTCCCGGCAACTTTTATGGGCGGAGCTTAACAGTGGGCGGAGTTTTGAGTGTATTCCATTATTTTTTCTCTCTGAAATTCGTAATATTTGACAATCGTGCCATAAATATGATTTAAAATTGAATGGTGTGATCCAGTGTGAACGGCTTACCAAAAGTGCCACTGTAAATCACTCTGAAAGTTTATCTTCGCTTGAAAAGATGACGAATGGCTTTTCTATTGATTTGACGATTGGAAATGGTCAATCTCGTTGAACATAAAAGTCCAATTGTCTTTCCTTCTGGCCCACCCTGGAGTTCATCTGTGCAATCTCTCTCGGTTAGAGGAAATGTGTCTCTTGAATCCTTTGCTTTGAGTAGATGGGGAAAATCGTCTTGACGACCAAGTATATGTGCATGGCATAAAGTTTTGGATTTTTCCTCGCCATCCCACCCGAGGATGGGTGAATTCAGCCCTGTGAGGAAGTCGTTTTCGTTTTCCATCTCTAAATGCTAGGGCATTGGAAAATCCCGGGGAAAGCCATGTGAGCGGATTCAAATTGAAAATTTCTGTATCGCTCCGTGAGGAGACAGTCCCGGATTTCGCCGCAATGTGTGTGCAATATTCCGTCAATTGAAAAGTGTTTAGAAGTTTTTTGCAAATTTTTATGATATTCACTCTCTCACTCTCTCGCCATTTGAGGGAAACTTTGCCCACTGTGGCATATATATTTTGTAGATGGGAAATGCGGGTGCATTTCTGCACAGTGGAGATATTTATTTTCCACCACCTCGAAAGCATTTTCATCTTGCTTACATGCACGCCGTTCTGCATGTAATGCGAAGAAGATTGAGTCTAACTTCCTTCCCCACGCGCACACAAGATAGTGCCCGCGAAGTTTGGCAGAGACATTTCCGTGTGGCTTCATTCCATCCACTCCGGGAATATCGAGGCACAAATATGGGGATGCCAGCTTAATGGTGGGGATTTATGTTGGTGGAGGACGAGAATTTTACTGCACGGGGAATTGCATTAGTCCGCGCAAAATAGTTTGATTGAAATTTTGAGTTTTTTTTACTCATGTAATTTCCTTCACATACCTTTGATCCATTCTTGGACTGAGTGGAGGAAATAAATCTCTTTTGCGCCCAGATAAATCAGTTCTGCCAGTGGCGTGCTTCTGAGCAGCTCCATCATTTCTCCACATTTCACGAAGAAGCTTCGTGTTCGGGAGACAGTGATAATAAATTCGTTAGAATAAGGCAAGAATTATTGTGGTTACCTGCGAAATTAGTCTCACTACATGCAGAGTTGATTACAGAGATGATACAGATATCGAAATCATATTATAAAAAGAGCTCTTAAGCGAGTTTCAATTACTTAATGTATTCCTAAGAAGATATAGATCATGAACTTGTACTTGTTTAATCTATTCATTGCTTTCTGATAAAAGTTCACATGTAGAAGGAATGTTTTTACACATAATAATAGGAGATATTGTGAAGGAAGCGCCAAAGATAGAGCATCTCTAATAATTCCATTAATTAGTGAAATCTCTAGTATTTTACGACTTTCCTCGGTCATAAAAGCGCAGTACAATTTACACAATGTCACTTATCAGATACTATGTGAAGTGGTGCAGAAAGCGTGGAAATGGCAACCGAGAAGCGGAAGTCAACCACCATTGAGAATTGCTTTTCATGTTAACTATTAATTTTTCATTATGCAAGTCTCCCTCGGTATTTATCTGAATTCATCCTGTGTCCGATGGCAGAGAAGTCCTTTCTCCTTGCCCCAAACCAGATTCCTCGCTTTCGCGCGCGCGAGAAAACTTTGTGGGTGGTGGGGTTGGAAAATTCCACAGATAAAATGCAGTTACAGTGTGCAAAATAATTTTGCCTATGGCTTTTTCTATCTCACGCCGAAATCTATATTCAGAACTTCACTTTGCAATTTTCCTTTAAGATGATGAACGATTCTCGGGGCTGTGTTGGGAAATTCCTACGAGGGCATCAGATTTGCTGGGCATGAATGCTACTTTAGCGCGCGGGGCGAAGAGATTGAGTGTAACATTGTTAAAAGTTATTTGTTCTGCAAATTTGCCTCCAAAAGTGTAATAAATGGTATCCGGACATAAATTTCCCGCCTCATCCTCCGGTTGGGCTTCTCCATCAATAAATTTCCCAAATTACCGGCCACTCCGTGGTGGAAAATTGATACTGGGGAAAATCATTGCGGGAATGCCATCTCGAGGCCACGATACTTCACGAGAGGCGCGCGGAGAATTCAATAATTTTCTGCTATATAGTGTTGCGGGTATGCAAAATACCATACTACAGAAATTCTATTAATTAATCATATTTCCCTGGACGTGACAGTGACGAAATGCCATCATGTGGAGTCAAATTTGCAGCACGAGTGCTGGAAAATTGCTAGAATATCCGTACACACAACTCGGGTGGAGGCATAAGACACAAATTTGAATGCAATCTACGAAAGAGTACTCAGTTGTTATATCTAATGTATCAAATTGAATTTGTGTGTATAATAGAGTCTCTCTGTGCAGAGCCACCCCATAAATTCGCAAATTCCCCCCCAACATACACAGCTCAAGTGGTTTTTCACCAGA